TAATATCATAGTTAACTCGGTTTCTTTTGTTTCAACAGGGACGTTAAATCACGTTTTCCCTTCATTACCCATGCATACGCATTTGTCTTCTAAATTACACCGGGAAATTTAGTTGAAAACAAAGGATTTCTTTGTCTTCTAATTTTCCCCTGCATGCTTGATGAGCGTAATTTAGTTGAGAACAAAGGATTTCTTTGTCTTCTAATTTTCCCCTGCATGCTTGATGAGGGAAATTTAGAAGACAAAAGCGTACCTCGTTACCTCTCATTGGAGAGCTGTACCTCATCGAAAATCATCGGCACAACTATGGACAGTATCTGACGACACCGTCCCGTACACATTCGAACAATCACTTTGCCAGCTTTTATTCCCTAATTTTGAATATTTCAATTGTGGGAGAAAATTCCGTTTATGCGCATGTCTAAAACGCCAATGAACACGGAGACGTGTTTCTGCACGTGCGTATATATGAAAAGTGTTCGTACCACAATCATAAGACAAACAAACAGCATTCAAAACAGGCAACACACCACGCGCGATTCCCTCGTTAACTATGATATTATAAAGTAATAGCATGGCATTACGGTCGATTAGTGATGAAATGTCCCTCAAGCCTCGAGAGGTTTAGTAAAAGTCTAGTTTAGTAAACCTCTCTCGGCTTTCGGGTACATTTAATAACTAATCGCCCTGAATGCCATGCGATTACTTATTATAAATCGCGCCGGCTAAGAATAACCTGTATATATACAATAAATTAACATCTATTTCGTGTAAGGCGTGGTGGCGTGCGGGAACAACACTCAGACCGTATACTGAGGGTCGTGAGTTCGATCCCAGAGTGAGCGCGAACGAATTTGAATTTTTCTCTTTGCCGTAATTGTTTTTTTCTCGTTTATTTACCTGTCACATAGCTAGCTGTATGCATTGGGAAGATGAATTTAGATGCATTTCGATGATATTCGGAAAATTTAATGTAATTTTGGTGGTTTTCTGCTTATGAAAACATTCTAGAACCAGTCTCCGAACAGTATACTATAGTACAGCTCGGCTGGCAGCCGAGCAATCGGAGACAAAATTTCCGCCTGTCAGCCGGCGTCAAACGCGCTAATCGGGTGCCCACGCGTGCTAGCTTTCTTTGGCAAGTCTATATAAGTTGAAATCTGATCCAACTTGCTTGAATTGTAACTCGACACTAGAATATAGAGCAGAAAGCCGCATCACGATAAATATTATTTTTCATGAATGCAGTTCTCTTCACGATTTCTTGTTGCAAATTTAAATTTCATCACACAAAGTTGCAAATATTGTTACAAGTGCGACAAACAGGCTCCTCGCCCGCCCTAACCATAGTATAATTTCAATTTATCACCCATAATCTGGGTGACACGTGACCAGCCGAAACCAGGGTCTTTCCTTCGCCTCGCGCGGTTCTAAGAAAGACCCTGGGAACGAGGCGAAATGACGAAAAAGCGAAAGTATTTATTGAATAGTTATGATTCTACAGAAGTATATGAGCAACCAGCAAAGTTGTTTACTGTAAGTTGTTCCTTTTGGGTAACGAGTTATACGTTAAGTAACTCTACACAATTCGATAAAGATTTCTCGATCGATTGAGATGTTGATTCAATATATAACCACATTACTGTCGGTAACATTGTTTACGACAGGAAAAGACTCTCTTGGCTTGACAGCTATGAACAGTTGAAGAAAACCGTCGAATCTAGCTTCAAACAACATGGCAAATGGTGGTCGCCTGGCGGCAGCGCAAAAAGATTTGATAGCAGTATATCTGACTTTACGGCAATATATAATATTTGCTTGCTAATAGGAATTTTATGCCTTTCCGGCTGAGACATTGGGGTAGATAGGTTGGTCATTATAATTGATAAACAGGTGGTGGTAAGATAAGAATTGTCATACACGAAGGAAATGGTGAGAATGTCCCTAGGGTGCGGAATGATCAAGCAGATGGCTGAAAAAGGAGTCATTTATAGTACATACTTTCATGCGGTTCACATCAGTCGCATTCAGTCTACAGCCAAGTGAACACCACTTTGTGAAGATATCAAAATTTATTAATCAAGGAGTTTTTCTTTAGTATCATTTTAATTTGAACAGGTAAGAATTTTGCTTTATTCTGTTCTCTTTTACTGGTCTCAACGTTCGTTGGAGATTGTTATATTTGTTCTCCATGTTTTTGGGGATTTTAATATTTGAACTATATGTTCTCCATGTTGTTGGGGATTATTCTACTGTTCTCCATGTTCTTGGAGATTTTAATATTTGCACTATTCTCCAAGTTGTTGGGGATTGTTCTACTGTTCTCCATGTTTTTGGTGGATTTTAATATTTGAACTGTTCTCCATGTTGTTGGAGATTGTTCTACTGTTCTCCATGTTTTTGGAGATTTTAATGTTTGAACTGTTCTCCATGTTGTTGGGGATTGTTCTACTGTTCTCCATGTTTTTGGAGATTTTAATATTTGAACTGTTCTCCATGTTGTTGGGGATTGTTCTACTGTTCTCCATGTTTTGGAGATTTTAATATTTGAACTGTTCTCCATGTTGTTGGAGATTGTTCTACTCCATGTTTTGGAGATCTTAATATTTGAACTGTTCTCCATGTTGTTGGAGATTGTTCTACTTTTCTCCGTGGAGATGTCTGGTTATAAGTAATTTTGGCCATCCAGATCCAGGGCTCGTAACTTGCGGCGACTCAAAAAATGTCAGCCATACTTGCCCTGCGAAAAATTTATTCGATTATCATCGTTTTTCATGCGGCTCAACGATGATGTATATTAATCGCAGTTGTCATTTATCGTTGATCAATTATTCTCATTACATTCAAAACTGTTTTTCGCAAGTTTTTCCCGTTGCAGAATGCCACCAAAAGGGAAAAAGCAACGCAAAAGACCTGCTACCGCGTCAGCTGATGGCCCGTCATCGCAGCGTAGTCGCCGTAGTTTGACCATCAACGCTACAATGGCGACGCGCAGTGCCAATCAACCACCTTCAGTTAATA